TAATCCATTTTGAGTTAATTTTTGTGTATGGTGTAAGATAGTGGTCTACTTTCATTTTTTTGCTTGTGGCTGTCAAATGCTTTCTCTGCATCTATTGGGATGACCATGTGATTTTTATTAATTTTGTTAATGTAGTATATCACATTGATTGATTTGCAGTTGTTGAACCATCTTTGCATTTCTGGAATAAATCCCACTTGATCATGGTGTGTGATCCTTTTAATGTATTGTTGAGTTCACTTTGCTAATATTTTGTAGAGGATTTTTGCATTTATGTTCTTCAGTGGTATTGGCCTATAACTTTCTTTTTTTGCGTTGTCTTTGTCTGGTTTTGGTATCAGGGTAGTGTTGGCCTTGTAAAATGAGTTAGGAAGCATCCCTTCCTCTTCAATTTTTGAAAGAGTTTGAGAAGGATAGGTATTAAATCTTCTTTGAATGTCTGGTGGAATTCACCAGAGAAGCTGTCTGGTCCTGGACTTTTGTTTTTTGGGAGGTTTTTGATTACTGTTTAAGTCTCCTTACTAGTGATTGGTCTATGCAGATTCTCTATTTTTTCTTGATTCAGTTTTGGAATGTTCTGTGATTCTAAGAATTTATCCATTTCTAGGTTATCCAACTTGTTGGCTTATAGCTTTTCATAGTATTCTCTTATACTCTTTTGGATTTCTGTGGTATCCATTGTAATTTCTCCTCTTTCATTTCTGATTTTATTTATTTGAACCCTCTCTCTCTTTTTTTTTTTTTAGTGAGTCTATCCAAGGGTTTGTCAATTTTGTTTATCTTCTCAGAAAACCAGCTTTTAGTTTCATTGATCTTTTCTATTCCCTTTTTAGTCTCTATTTCATTTACTTCTGCTGTGATTTTTATTATTTCCTTCTACTGAATTTGGGCTTTTTTCTTCTTTTTCTAGTTCTTTTAGGTGTAGTTTAAGATTACTTATTTGAGATTTTTCTTGTTTGTTGAGATAGGCCTCTATTGCTATAAGCTTCCCGCTTAGTACTGCTTTTGCTGCATCTCATAGCTTTTGGTAAGTTGTGTTTTCATTTTCATTTGTCTCTACATATTTTTTGATTTCTCCTTTGATTTCTTCATTGATCCAGTAGTTGTGCAGTAGCGTGTTGTTTAGTCTCCACATATTTGTGACTTTTCCTACTTTCTTCTTGTGGTTGATTTCTTGTTTCATACCATCGTGGTCGGAAAAGATCCTTGATTTCAGTGTCTTAAATTTATTGAGACTTGTTTTGTTTCCTAACATATGGTCTATTTTTGAGAATGTTTCATGTACACTTGAGAAGAATTGTATTCTTCTTTTAGATGGAATGCTCTATATGTATCTATTAAGTCCATCTGGTCTAGTGTTTCATTTAAGCCCAGTGTGTCCTTGTTAACTCTCTATCTGGATGATCTATCCATTGACGTTAGTGGGGTATTCAAGTCCCCTACTATTATTTTGTTGTTGCCAATTTCTCCCTTTAGATCTGTTAATAGTTGCTTTATATGCTTTGGTGCTCTTTATATGTTAGGTGCATATATATTAATAAATGTTATATCATCTTGGTGGATTGTCCCCTTTATCATTATATAACGTCTGTCTTTGTCTTTTGTTATCTTTTTGGGCTTGAAGTCTATTTTGTCTGATACAAGTATGGTTATACCTGCTTTCTTTTGGTTGCCATTTGCTTGGAGTATCATGTTCTCTCCTTTCACTTTTAGCCTATGTTTGTCTTTAGAGCTGAGATGGGTTTCCTAGAGGCAGCATATTGTTAGGTCTTGTTTTTAATCTATCCAGCCACTCTGTGTCTTTAAATTGGTGAATTCAATCCATTTACATTTAGGGTGATTACTGATGTATGAGGACTTAATACTGCCATTTTGTCTTTTGTTTTCTGGTTCTCTGTATTTCCATTGTTTCTTTTCCTTGTAGTTTTCTGAGATGTATTTTTCAGTTTCGTCTTTTTTTATGTTTCATGACTCTGCTGTGAATTTTTCTTTTGTGGTTACCTTGGGGTTTGCAAGATAGTCCTTTATCTTCTAATAGCATCTTTTCTCCATTTTCCTGTACAGGTTCTGTCCTTTTCCTCTTCCCTCTCTATGTTTTTGTTGTCACAAATTATCCCTTTTTGTATTGAGTTGGTTACCAAATTGAAGTGGTTATAGTTATTTTTAATGCTTCCTTTCCTTTTAACCTTTATTTTATAATTGTTTACTAATGTATTCTGATACAGAGTTTCAATTTTCTCATTCTGTCTATCACGTTGCTCAAAGCTTTGTATACCTTTGCCTTTTTGTTTTGAGTAAGGAGGGCTTCTTTCAACATTTATTGTATGGCATGTCTGGTGGTGAAGAACTCCCTTAGCTTTTGTTTGTCTGGGAAAGCCTTTAATTTTCCTTCTTTTCTGAAAGATAAGTTTGCTGAATAGAGTATTCATGGTTGACAGTTTTTTATCTTTTAATATTTTGAATATATCATTCTGCTTTCTCCTGATCTGTAGAGTTTCTTCTGAGAAATCTGCTGATAGCTGAATGGGATTCTCTTTTAGGTTATTATTTTTTTGGCGGCGTGCCTTTAGTATTCTTTCTTTGTTATTAACTTTTGACAGTTTTATTATCGTGTGTCTTGGAGAAGGTCTTTTTGCATTGAGATAATTGGGTATTCTATTAGCTTCATGGATTTGTATACCCAATTCCTTCTCCAGGTTTGGGAAGTTCTAGCTATTATTCCTTCAAATAAGCTCTCTGCTTCCTTCTGGGATACTGATTATCTAACAGAGTTGGATAATTCTCGTAGAATTTCTGCATTTAAAAAAAAAAAATCTCGGTTCTCTCTCCTCTTCCACCTGCATCATTTCTAGGTTTCTATCTTTGAGCTTGCTAATTCTCTCTTCTGTATGGTCTGCTGTATTTACCATGATTCCTAATGCATTCTTCCTCTCATTTATTGAGTTTTTCAGCTCCAGAATTTTTGTTTGGTTCTTCCTTTTAGAGTTTCAATCTCTTTGATAAAGTATTCCTTCTGTTCATTGATTTTATTCCTGATCTCATTAAACTGCCTTTCTGAGTTTTCTTGTAGCTCATTGCATTTCTTCATCACAGCTATTTTGAACTCTATCAGTTAGATCATGATCTTCCATGGCTTTATGTTTGGTTTCTGGAGAATTATTTTCTTTTTGTGATACTGTGTTACCATTGCTTTTTGTGATTCTTGCTGAGTTATTCCTCTGCCAGTGCATTTGTTGTAGTAAAATCTTTTTTTCTTTAGGTATAGTTTTGTTTTGAATCAAATTTGTTAGTGGCCTTTCTTTTGTTTTTCAGTAGGTGGTGCCATAGTGCTAGTTTTTGCTTTTTTTTTTCTACCTGAGCTGCCTCTGGTGTATTTGAGGATCTGCATGTTCCTCCCTCTACTGCCTCTATTGAGGTGTCCCCAGGACTCTCATCATTGCCACCTGTGCTTCTAAGGGTCACTGATGCCTTGCTGTTGCCTGTGTTGTGGTGGTCACTGGCTTTGCTGCCAGGGGTACAGGGATGGCTGAACCCTCTGCCACTTTCAGGCTCACCTGAGTTGGAAGCTCCACTTCCATGACGGGGGGGACAGGAGGAGGGAGCTGGGTTCGCAGGGCACCATATCTGCTGTTGCCTCTTACCTTGTGATCATAGGTGCTGCTGTGGTTGGAATGTCAGATTTCTGTGCAAGCGTCTACTGCTGCTACCAGGCTCTGAGCTGTGGCCTGGGGCCCAGGATCACGGGGCTTCACTTCTGCTCCTGTTCTGCTACCCATGGCCATACATGGTGCTGTAGGTGGCTGGCCTGAATTGCACTTGTGCCTCTGCTGCTGCCCACTGTGTTCTCTGGGGCTGGTGGTGGCTGGGTATCCAGGGTCCTGGGCACCATCTGTGCTGTTCCTCCATTTCACCTTCTCTGTTTGCTGCATTCCACCCACCTTTGTATGTACCATGTGTGGATCTCACCAGTATTCTGGTGTATTGGGCAATGTAGCCTTTAGGTTATCGATGTTTTACTCACTGTAGATTGAAGGGGAGAGACAAAGGGATCCTCTCACACCACCATGATGGTGATGGCTTCTGTTGTGTGTATTTTCTGTAGAGCATATTTCTGTATGAATGAACAGATAGGAAGGGAAGGAATTAGTATAAGATTTTCAAGGTGGAGTATATTTTAAAATGCTTCTCATTAATAAATACACATAATTGAACAAATTATAATTCTTGAGAGTTTTTAAAATTTGTTATGGTGAAAGAATACAGATACATCTGAGTGTTCCTTCTACATGTGCATTTGCATTTTAAATTGTTTATTTTGAGGCTATTGTTGTGATGTAGGTCTTTTATGTCCCATAAAAGACAAGCAGTACTGTAAAACCTCCATAGTTTGAAGAAATGAGGAAAGATCACCCTAAGCTCCTTAAAATTTAAATGAAAAATAATGGTTAAAAAATAATTATTTGAATAATTTCAAGAAAAATACACTACTAAAAAAATTCTATATAAAATTCTTCTGGATTTACTTTAAGAAATGGATCATTATTTGTTGGAATTCTAATTATTAATTACTTTGAAAGAGATTCTTCTAGAAAAGTATGTACTTAATTATATAAGCACTCCTTTGAATTTTATTGATATTGTTAATTTCTTAACATATATATTTATATATTTATTTCTATCTAGCCTAGTTTCAAATTATGAATTAAATTTAATGAATTGATGAAATCATTCTTTATACTTTTGACCCTGACGTAAGAAATAGAATATTAACATTTTATATTTTTCAATATTGTGTTCTCAATAAATGTTTACTGTATCTGTATTTAAAAAGGAATATTCATTGATCCTATTAAATATTTATGACTTGAAATGTTTAATTGGAAATTAGCACAAATTGATAATTGCAATATAAGTGTATGTGTTTTTAGCTTCTTTAATGTTATATTTTTCAAAATGAATAAAATTGTATTCTAATTGTTACCTTTTATATTATTTTGCAGGTGCATTTTCTTGATTGTAAATCAGTACCTTTTGGTCAGAAAATGGAACACCTAATGCAGATTAGAGAATTAGCAAAGGAAGTGAAAAAAAGAAATATTTTATTATGTGGCCTTCTCATATATTACCCACAGGTAGGTAAAATGTTGGTCTCTTCAGATTGTATGTTCTAGAGATTATAATTTTAATTGTGGGAACCTGATTTTGTTAAAAGCGAAGAGATGTTAATAATAAAAATTTTGGCTGGAAAATTACTCATCTATTCATGTTCTGTAGTAGGTAGAACCTCTTGACTCTAGTGGTAAAACAAAAATCAAAACAAGTGTTTTGATTAGGGGAAAAAAAGATGAAAATTGGCAAATATCTCATACTAGGTAGCCCACACAGGATTGCCAAATTTAGCAAATAAAAGTACAGAATGCCCAGTTAAATTTGAATTTTGGATAAACAATAAATAATTTTAAGTATATTGCAAATTTGGGATTTGTTCAAATTTAACTGGACTTTTGTATTTAACTAACAACCCTAAGGTCACAACTCTTAACCATTTGTATAGTTTGAAATCACTTATTTCTTTTATGTTATGTTAAAGATGTTGGTGATCAAGTGTTTAATTGCTTGAAAGCAATGCCTGACATTCAGATTACAAGAGGGCATGTATTTAATTAGAGAAAAACTCTTATTGTCACTATCTTTTAATAGCACCAAGGTAGTTAAGGTGAAGGCAAATTGAGTTAGCATTGGAGATTCTTTGTGCAGAGAAATGCTATTTAAATCAAACTATTTGGAGAGTCTGTTAGAGAAGATGGATTTGCCCTTTGTGTGTGGATACCTTTCATCGAACTTGAATAAAGCTTTAGAATTTCCTAGAGGTACCACACGGTAGTCAAGCAAGTGAAACAGTCAACTGCTTCTTTAATGGTCTTGAATAAAATTGATTTGGTACTCACTGTCCAGGGAATGACAGGTATTTAAAGTTATATGGTTGATGAATAACAGCTATTGTTTATGAAATATTTAAGGTAACTTTTTAGCCTGAAGGTAACAACATTTCTTTTGAAACAAATGGATTTTAATTAAATATAAAGAGCATCTTTTATTCAGTCCCTGGTTTTCTTTAACTCTGAGGTTGTTACCTCTGCTTTCAAAATATGCAAGCATGATCTCTGGTTAGTCATCAAAAACAAGGCAAAGTTCAGTCTACTTAGGATCCTGGAATTGTAAAATGTTAGTGCTGTAGGGGCTATTGAAGTCTGGACAACCAAGGCCTGAAGAGATACATATACTTGCCAAGTGGACATATAACTGGCAGAGTAAGAACAAGAACTCAGGTCAGTATCTTTGTTTAGAAATATTTCCTCTGCAATAGATTGTCTTTGGTTGTACTCTAGATTATTATGGTGGGAAAAATAAATCAGTTCTTTCTCTCATGCCATGCAAAGGATTCATGGATGCACACTAGTAATGCTACACTATGCAGATATAAAATAGAATTCATTGAGGAAATCGCAAAAGCTGAGGAAAGGTAGAGCACACACAATCCCTGGAACTGTCTTTGTTCTAAGATTTAGGCTAAGCAAAAAGGGTATGTATTAACTGTAGCTGACATTGCAGTGGAGAGTATGCTTGCCAGATGAAATATAGCATGTCTACTTAAATTTGAATTTCAGATAAACAATAATTTCCAGTATAAGGATGTCTCAAATATTATGTGGAATATACTTGCAATAAAACTTATTTGCTGTGGTTCTGAAATTCACATATAACTGGACATCTTGTATTTTTGTTTGCTAAACCTGGTAACCCTTGTAGAGTTTATATTTACAATAAAATTATTCATTTTCCTATACCTGTCATGTTTTACACATTTGTGGAATGGAGTACAGTGAGTATCTATATGACTCTGTACCTGTGAAGGCTTCCTGATTGGAAAAGTGGCCTTGTTGGAAAGAAGGAGCCTTTGCAGACCATTCTTTGATATCTAATTATTATTTTGAGCCAACTTGGACCTGCTAAGCCTGGTGTCTCCTAAGCTACCAAAAGTGGGAAGAAGATGATCCTGCAAGGCCTTTAAGATATGTTTCTCATTGATAGCTTACTTAGGTGTTGCTTGTCTCTTTTTAAAAATACAATAGCAAAGATGTTTTAAATATGTGAGAATGTTTAAAATACAAGGTTTACTTTTGTCCTCAAAGACACAGGTGTGAGTTGATTCTTACTAGCCCGACATGCTGTCTAATGCATAATTTCACCTTAAAGAGCACTTACCAAAGGACTCTTGGACGTTCATCAGATATGCCATTAAAAAAGGGCTATAGCTAAAAAATTGGGGAAGCATCAATGAATAGAGTTAAACAGACTTCTTTAGTGAAGGGCTTCTCACAAATCCTTAACATGCTAATGAGCATTTCATATCTCCAAATTGAAGACAAGGGGTATAGATTTTCCATTTGCTTCTGTAACCTTTTAACCGTGAACAACTCATGAGGCTAATGTTCCCTAGAAGAAACATTGGGAAACACTCCTCACAAATATACTCTCAGTAAAGAAACACTACCTCTGGACACAGTCTTTTTATACTTCAGTACTAATTTTTACATTTAGTTAAATCACTGTCTCTAATGAGTGCCTATTTGACAGGCATTCTGTCAACACTAAGGACGTGAAGATAAATAATGTGGAGCTTCTGTTCACTGCTTAGTGAAAAGAGTGTTGGTTTGTACTTTCCCTGGTGCTTTGAGATGCAACTTTCTGTATTGTTCACGCATTGGACTTTGTTCCCTAAATCTAAGCTGCCTTCTCCATGGTAGCCATTAGTTTGTTTTCATAGATAGTTATTGTGTATTCTTTTACGTCTCTGATCAGTGAAGTCTTTCTAGATTTTGAACCATTTTTCATAACACATAACATCAAGTATTTTTTCCTTGGATGGGTTTTAGTTGGTTGATAACCTCTCTTTGGAAGAGAGCGTGTATTGAATTGACTTCAATGTCTGTGCTATACATACGGTCTTTCTGGCTTAAAGAAGACATGCTTTGTTATGTGTGTGATGTTTCTGATAATGTGGATGGTCTTGATTTTTTTAGCCACACCTTCACAGTGTTGACATATGTGATGTTTATAGTTAAACAGAATTACTTAAGCCTTTTTCTTTTTAAACACATTATGCTGTTATGCGTCTATTTGTGTTTGTATAGAGTTCTTTTACATACATGTGTAGGGCTTTCTGTGTTTAGTAAATTTAAACTTATTAGTTTTATTCTGTTGTTTCAGTTGTTTATTTTTTTGATCCAGAATGTAACATATGATTAATTAGTTATGGTTTCTTTCTTCATATAATTTACAAATTAGACGTCATCTATATTTTGTGTGCACCTTTAGGGGAAAATTGATTTGGAAAAGGCAAAAGATTGATCCCTTCTTTGTATCTATAAATGTTCTATAATGTTGTCAGTGATTCATTACTGATAATTCTTTGATAATTTAATCAGTGACAAATGCATCTAATTGTAAAATATTTCAGTTCAATTTTGATATTTTCTTTAATGTTATAACAAACTAACAAATGCTTTGCTGAACTCTAGATATGCTCCATATATATGCTTATTTTCTAATCATAGAGATATAATTTGCTAAATTATTGAATATGCTAGCTCCTTAGCTATATCAATGTAGTAAAGCGCTAATTAACTTTTTTTCAAAATTGATTTTAAAATATTCTAGTGGCCTCAAAAAATTAATAATTTAAAATAAGCTCTTAGTGGGTAGCTTAAACTTAGACTTATGCATCGTGTGACTGGCTTGACCATTTATATATAGTATAAAGTTTTCTGACTTTATCATCCGGTGCTCAGTTCCTCATGTTATAAGTAAATTAGGAAGATTTGAGATTTATACTCTACTAGAAATGCAGCATGAAGTTTTCACAATTTGTTAAATGAATTTAAATCAAGGCCTATCCTTCTTTCTAAAATAACAATATAAATGTAACTATGAATAATTAAAACCAGGTTTTATAGTTTAATCTATATAACGATTCTTAGTCCCTTTTAAAATATCTTTTTAAGTAATTCTATGTATAAGGTATTACTCTTCATTCATCCTGTTGTTATGCAAGTCACCACTGAGGTCTATGATATAAAATTTTATGTTTAGGGAATATGTTCTAATTATTTGAAAAATCTGTATCTGATGGTATAGCAGTGAACTTATAGAGACTTGATATGTCTAGCATGAATTATTCAAGCCAATAGCTTAGTTAGCAGTCTTAATTTTTTTGAAGTCTAAAATATTTTTATGATGACTTTTTTTTTGTGAGGAAGATTAGCCCTGAGCTACCATCTAATGCCAATCCTCCTCTTTTTGCTGAGGAAGATTGGCCCTGGGCTAACATCCGTGCCCATCTTTCTCTACTTTATATGGGATGCCACCACAGCATGGCCTGACATGCAGTGCATCCGTGTGCGCCCAGGATCCGAACCCGTGAACTCTGGGCCGCCAAAGTGGAATGCGAGCACTTAACTGCTACACCACTGGGCTGGCCCCTATGATGACTTTTTTTTAATGCAAATATTTGCAAGTATACATTTTAATAAAATTTTGCACATGAACTTCTATGAAAATAAAATTTATGAAGTTCTGTCACAATTTTTAGTTTAATCTGTGTGTTTTACATGCTCAGGGCTTTAGAGATAGAAGCACACAGGTTCACGGTTAAAGAGTTTCTCAAAACTATTATAACTGATTTTTTTTTTTTTTTTTTGCACTGAATTAGTCTTCCCCTCTAATTGAAAAACTAGCTATATGATCTTGATCAAGTAACCTAGGTTTTCTAGGCCCTGGATTCTCCATTTGTAAAATGCAGAAGTCAGAACTTCCATTTTACAGACTCTGTTGGATGAGAAGATGGAGACACCGAAGGTGTACAGGCTATGTCAGATGACACCATTGGGCATCTCTCACTCTGACACGTGGAAATTCTGGAACAGCCTGGGTTTTCTTTCCTCTTTCTATGTGACCATAAACGTCACTTGTACTGTTATTTCATTAAGAAATTATTCATTATAGTTCAGAGAAGAGACTGTTCTTTTTTTCAGGCACCTTAATAAAATAGAAGACAACAATGGGGATGTCT